AGTGTTAGCATGGATTAGCTTTATCTAATCTTCGCGAGCTTCTCTTGACTTTCTTGCATTTCCATAAATATCTTTGCTATGAATGTACTCTCTTTGCCAGCAAAATCTCCATTTATTAATTTCTTAATAAAAGTTGCATTTCCAAACTTTATTTTCAGTTTTATTTTTGAATCGTTAATTCAATTACATTGCTTAATCGACCCTCCTTATTTTTTATCCATTTTTAAATATAATAATTATTCATAATTGTTTTTCAGTCCTTTTAATGTGCTACCAATTCAGCAACAGCAGCAGCAGTCTATTTTCAGCAACGAAATCGACATGTGAGAATTTGTTGAGTAATCATCACTCTCAATTATTATTCAACTTACTTATATTTGCTTTGGCCTAAAAAATATTCATGAAGTTTCAGGATAAAATTTTAGCAATTTGCTAGACGAGAACTGACTACTGTTTGCTTTTTATTACTAATTTGATTGTTTTCATTTTTTCTAAAATAAAATTGATTGTACTGTTTATTAGAATCATTTCAGCACATTTTTTAAACATAATTTTTTGCAAAACGCAAAATAAATACAGAAATTTTTGAATAAACAAAAAAAAATCAGTTTTAACCTATCGAAGTAATTGATTATTATTTGAAAAATATTTGAATTTATTATTTGATAACTTTTGTCATTGTGACACTTTTCATCTTAGAGAGCTTTTTAGTTTTTTATAAGCTGCTTAGGAACAAATGTTTAGAAATAATAATTAAACAGCTTTGAGCGATTCAAAGTTGTTCTCTTAGAGAATGCGAACCATGATACTCATTTTCGAAGATATTATCTGAAAATTAACTTATTTGTTTTTGTAGAAAATAAATTATAATTATTTTTCTAGAAAATATTTGTCATTCATTTCAACTATCTCATAATAGAGCACTGCACAGTTTCAGCAAAATGATTGACTCTTCGGAAGTTATCCAAAAAACATTAGTGCATGTATCATATTTGCTTCTACTCTCAAAATTCGTTATGACTGTTCGTTAATTTTCTTCTTCAAAAAATAAAATAAATGAATTTTATCCAGAAAATATCGTTTTGTTAATAAATTAAATAAATTAAGTTAGGCAGTTTGTCTATTAGTTAGTCTTCGAAAGCTCAGAAAAATTCTTCAATAATAAAACAGATTCTCAGTTTGCTTGAAATCCTTTTCATAAATGTGAAATTAGTGCATTAAATTACAAATCGCTGAAAGCTATAATGAATTTTTAAGTTTATAAAAACTAAAACCTTAATTTACAAATTAAAATTGCAATACTGAGCACACTGCTAGACAGCAAAGTTCCTAACTTATAATACAGTTTTTATTTTGAAGTAAATTTCTGAACATAAATAATACTTCTGAGAGCGATTTAATTTTTTGATATTATTAGAAAATTTATCTGATTTCTTGATTCCACGTATAAAATTTGCATACTACCTAAAATTGCTGCTGAATTTAGGGTAATGAGAAAAGAAACAGTGAATAAATATTTGCTCATATTTACCATTTCTGTTGCTACCATAGCCCTTTTACTTGTACTGCTGATATTACTGAAAGATAAGTTCTGTTCTCGAAAAAATATTTATGTCAAGCAATCACACCAGCAGACATTATCAATGCACAATGAACTTACCGAAATATTGCACGACACACCGAATAAAATTCTGCTAAGGTAATCAATAACTTTCATTTCATTTATATTTGCATAAAATTATTCAAACTCTTTTGTACTGTATTACATGTGCATAAATATCAAAGAATGCTAAATTTTTAAGGTAGTTAAAATTGATTTCCCTTACAATTATTCAAAAAAATGTAACTTCCAGCTTATTGTAACAAATACTGAGATGTTTGTTTCCTAAAAATAAAAAACTAAGGCAATTTAGCACTCATTCGGAGTTTCTCAATAAAATGAAGCTAAACATTTAGCAATGAATAACTTTATTTTGCTCACATATTTTTAGTCTAAAAAGACCGTTGCTGAGAAGACTTTTTTCAATTCCATTTCTCAAATTCATTTTAAATATATGCTTATACGATGTTTGTTTATTTTTAGATATAACTTAATGATAAATTAATTATTAATACTTTTATAAATATTTGCATAAAGTGTTGCGAACCGACAAAAATGTGCCCCACAATTTTTAAATATTTGTAAAGTTTAACATAAAATAGCAATGAAATTTTTTATTGTGTTCAGCTTTTTAGATAAATAGCAAAAGTAATATGCACAGAATGAATGGTTTTTAAATTGGCGCAGACAGAAAAGTAAAAAAAAATACTTTTCATGACTTTTTTCTCGTAAAATGAGCTAAATTTTAGCTTCAATTTTTATTGAGTCGAATTTTTCTCACAATAAAATATGAAAATTTATGAAATAATTTGAAGTTTTTAGCGTAAATTCTCTTTTTTTTGCTCAGAACTATTTTGAAAGCAAAGCTTTAGATTTCTACTAGAAATTGAAAAGAAATTTAAAATTTCATTGTTGAAGTCTTAAGGTAGAGTTTGACCTAAGTAGTCTTTTCATACAGTAATCAAAAAGATTAGGTATGATTTCAATCATTTTTTGCTGATTGTAAGCGTCAAGTAATATTCTTTGAAGGTACAACAGCTAGTAATATAAATTAGTTCACATCAAGAAGCTTCTGTAATAATAATTGCTCTAAATTATAAAGCTATGAAAATTGTTTAAGTTTCAGATTATGCATTCATGAGTAGAACTGTATGATATTTTATAAAACTGAAGCAGAACAAACTTGCATTTCTAGCAACTTATCCATTTTTATCACTGAAATATAGTCCACTTTTCTCACAAGAATTTTTGTTTTTCGCTCAATACTTCATTATTTATTGCTGAAACAAATATGCTAATTTAGCGATGAGATTACAGGGCAGATGGTGTGATACCTGTTGATATGCCAGATTTTGATTTTATCGACGAACGAAGTGTACATTTGATATCACCCACAATTATTGTACATTCATTGAAAAATTCACCTGTGCCATTGTAATTTATTCATATAACTGCTGCCGTTTCTTGTAAGTATCAATTTCTCTGTATCGATATGAAATATAAATTTGAAAATGCATAAATGTAAATTGTTTTTGTTATTATTCAGCTGGTAGTCCAGTTGCGCTTTGCTTATTCCATGATAATTATCGTTTGTTGTACATACAACGTTGATAAATAGTTGCTTGGATTACTTTCCAAAATTAAGAATTTTTAAGTGATCTGAGTTTGAAAGATTCAAGAAAGCGCCAAAATAAGCACTGTTTCCACTACACGCAACAGACTATTTTATAAATTATTGAGATTTTTTAATTTTGCAGCAAATATTTGCAGTCAGAAAGTTCATTTATAATAGATCATCAGTCAACTTTTATAGTAAATGAAATAGTAATTCTAAATCTGATGACAGATTTGATGAATTGGATTGTTACCTTCAAAACTGCCCCTAAAAATTTTTTAGGATAATTTATTTTGAATCTTATGGTCATATCTTTATATTTGATCTTTTATGCTATTCTTATTTTTCAAATTACATTAGTTCACTGACTACATTATCAATTCCATTTATTTACAAAAATAAAGTGAGCTCAGTTTTACTATTTTATATACATGACAGTTATGAAAATATTTCTGTTGACTGTTGGTACTTCAATGATGTATAAATTCCCAAAATAATCATATTTATGTTCTATTCAATACTTTTGTGATCTAGACAGATTACAGAAGTGTTGAGTAGAACGTAATCTCTACGGGTATCCAATGAAATCAAGTTAAGTGTCGCCCTTCCTTGTGTCTCGTATCTCTCACGTCACATATTAATGCAGCGTTCATTCTGTGTAGTTCACGTACATAAAGTGACCTTATAGTAAGAATTGATCAAAAAATTTTCCTAAAAATAATCATTCTCTACGATTGAATCTCGTTCCATATTATTTTGTTTTTGTTACGTTATATTTATAATTTTGCATTTAGAACTTTTGATTTAAATTAGTTCACAGCAAACAATAAAAATTGAACCCTCCACTAATTTTCATTGAACTTTTGAACTTTTGTTATGAACCAATAATTAAAAATTAGTATTTCATTTTAATTTGAATCAAAGTTATGCTTTTGCTTTATAATTTTTATTTTTACGCAAGCTATGCTAAAAATTTGAGTGAAATGCATTCTGATACGGCAACTTTATTTATTGTTATTATCAGCCACAGACTTATATCATCTGTCAAAGTAATGAGTATTTTATCACTTAGTTGACCGCTCCTTTTAAAGATTAGACTGAAAGCCAAATTATTCGCGAATATATACAGCATAATCGAATATTTATGTTTACTTATCATACAATATGCAAATATATTGCTGGATATGTGTTTTCTATAAATAACTATTAATGGCTGCACTTTTTGAACATTGCTGCTAATATGCAAGCAATTTTGATCGTTTACTTACTCATTAAAATTGACTTTTTCATCTTAGCATTACTTTTAAATCTACAGGGTCATTATTAGCATTTAGCACGAAGACTCAAATACTATCAGATAAATAGTAAGTCATAATGAAGAAGTAATATTGGCAAAGTTCGGAATTGAAATAAAATTTATTGGGTTCAAAGCAAAAAAGTTTAAAGTTCAGAAAGACATCCTTTTTTATTTAAAGATTTTACAGCTTTTATTAATTATCGAATGTCTTGTTTTTTAAGCTTCCAGAAGACATGATAATAAATGCTGCGGCCAAAATTTTTGATTATTTCTTTAAATAGATTTATACATCAGTAAGCTAACGTATTGATTTCAAACGTGAAATATCACGTAATATATTTTTCATGACATAATTTTATAAATTTCCAGGTGACAGTTCTTGGACTGAAATCAAACTTTCAACAAAAATTCAAATAATTTCAACTCACGTGAAACATTTTACACTTGCTAAAATTATTAAGTGGTTTTCAATGAAATTTCATAAAATAATGGAACTTGCAATGGTATTTCGCAAAATTAAAGCAATATTTGAATGAATTTTAAAAAATTAATCAAAAAAAAGTTAAAAATCTTGAAAATGCTTTCACTTTTATCTTTTTTTAGTAAGCCAAACATTTGAAAAAGGCTTCCTTTTGAGTAATTTGCTTGCAGGTGATTTTTTGCATGAAAATTAATTAATAAAACGATTATATATTCAAATCACAGATCTTATCGTTAAAGAACATATAAAATGTTCATTTTAACGTCAATTTTATTATTTTGATTAATGTTTGGCTTGTGGAGTAATCAGTCAGCTAATTCATTCAGATATTATGCATTTTGCGATAGTTTTGATAATTTTTTTGCTAATTGAGAAGGTTCGCTTTCTTTACACAATTCTGATTCCTCTTTTATACTTTTCAGTATTTGTAGTTTTTTTGCTTTCTACAAAACTTGTAGAAGTTAGTTCACTCCTTTTCACGGAAAGCGTATACGCGGTAAATTTCAAGTAGCATTTAAATCAAATTAGTAATTCATTCATTTTGTTTTGAGCAAAAAGTTCAGATTATGGACTACTGTACTAATGACTGCGTCAACTTATATTTTCTAACTGTATCTATCTTATGCGTGAAAATTTGTTTTAATAATTGTATAGATTTTTAGTTTTGTGAAAGATATCTCAACAGCTAAAAATATCAAAAATTACAAAACAAAAAAACTGTTTGAGAGACAGTTTTCATTTTTGGGGAAAACGATTTTAGAGTACTGAAAGTTTTGAAAACCAAATTAAATAACAGCAGATAAATTAGTTCGTTCGTTACTGAAAAGTTCACTGAAATTAATACTTTACAATAGCTACAAATACTGCTATTATCAATTGCTTGCAAAATATTCTTGTCAAAATACTTTTACTTCAGACTGATTCTTTCTTTCGAATCTTTTATTTCAGAAAGCTTAATCATGTGACTGGCAAAATTGTTTTTTGAAAAAGTAACACAAGTTGAAATATAATTTTTTCACAGCAAAAATGCAATTAATCTCTGAATATATTTTTAATATCAAGGGTTAATTAATTTGTAATTGATGCGCATTGAGATGCTAAATGATTGTGATAATTATAGTCCAAAATTTTTAAAAATGAATTCTAAATTTAGAAAATTATTTATTAATTGCAAAATTCTTTGCATTAAAAAGTGGTGAAATAGGACTTTCCAAATTTTTTGCCTAATAAATAAATTAATTAATTAATTAATTGAATAAATTTTATTTATTAACCACTTTTAACTGCAAAAGTTTTGATAAAGCAAATGATCAGTTATAAACAAATGTTTGATTAACTGATGTAAATATAATCAATTTTCAGAATTATCAAACGAAAATATGTTACAATCCAAAAACTAAAAAAGAATATGAGTAAATTATTAAATCACTTATTTCTGAAACTTTAAAAACTTAATATTTTCAAAGTTATTTTTACATTATCAGTCATAGGGAATGATTTAAAATTAGCAACCATTAATCACTAACATTTTTAATAATATATTGTTGCCAAATTTATTCAACAAGAATACTTTTCACTTGCTGATTATATATCAGTTATTGATTGTATAAAGTAATAATTTACGGTACTTCAAATAATTTCATTACAGATCTCCCAGTAATTTTTGCGTTTATGGGGTAAAATACAAAGCTACTGGCGATAGCTATAAAGTTTTTGATACCTTATTAATAAATGACCAAAGAAATAAGTTATCTGATGAAACACTTACTCTCGATCATGCATCACAACCATTATGTGATGCCCTTAGCACTGCCACAGAGAAGATACTTTATTATGGTGCATGGATGCAAGTTAGCTGATCAGTTTTGCATTTTTTATTTGACTGATAGCAAATGATAATTATTGTGTTCAGATGGTAGGGAGCTAAGTGCTGGAGTAGAAAAATTTCACTTCACCACAACTTGATGAAACGAAATGATTCTGAAAGATATTAAAATGATAATCATATTTTGTCTTCTCAAATAACTATTGAATTTAGATTTAAGAATTTGAGTTTATTAAAAATGATATCTGGAAACTTGTTTTGAACTGAATATTTGATTGCTTATACCAAAGACATTTTTCACAGATAATACATGAATATTTAATCACAAATTAAGATTTAGTTTGAAACTTACTTAATTCAGAAAATGAGTGGAAAAAATAAATTAAGATATCTTGAATTAAAATTGGGCTTGAAATGAGAATTAGATTATATGCGTGAAATTTTTTCAACATAAATTTCACTTCAGGAGACTCAAAAAACTTATATAGATGTGTTCTTGGCTTGCTGTCAAGAATGCCCACATTTGGATTATGACGAATGGATACTTTTGCTTAAAAAAGAAATGATTGCGTTGTCACCTTATGGTCTTTTCCGTCAAAATAAATTGGTATTTCACAAAGATGATATTTTCATGTTCGAAACTCACTATGTAGTAGCTAACAGGACTCAAGAGAAATTACCTGCTTGTGAATCATCAGCGTATCAATTGGTAAGTATGGTGGTATACACGTCAGACTTAAAAATTGACGTCTAGCATCTGAACGTTACTGTCTTTTCATAAGTCTAACAAATCAAGAAAATTTTTAATATAAAATGAATTAATACAAAATGACATATAACAGGCACTAAACAACAGTTAGACTTTACATGAATTGAGCGCAAGAAATAAATTTTATGCATAATTTTATAGTATTAATTTTTCCTTATAATGGCATTCAATTTTATAGCTGTATATGGTAAAAAGTAAGATCAAACCTCCTTTTCTGTTTCGAAAATGCTTGTTCTTTGTTGGTTTAAAATCAGTGAATAACAGACAAAAGTTTTGAAAAGTTATGTACGTGATATTAATCAAAGGCGAGTATTGTCCTAAATGTGTTTTAAAATCAGAATTGAATAATTAAATACTTGAAATATACTGATCAAATTTTATTATTTCTTTACTATTGTCGATCATTCTATTAAAAATTGGAATCACTCAGGTTGATCATTTTCATTCATTCTTGTTAAGTGCTGAACTTTAGGTCCCTGTTAAATTTGGCAATCGCGTTGGATATGCATATGCTTCTGATCGACTAGACTACGAAACCATATATTCACGTGCGAACGCGCCTCCACGTATAGTGAAAACAAGTGAAATTGGATGTTATTCAGCAGACGTTGCTAACAAGCAAAATTTTGTTTGCAAAAATATGTATTCTTCTGAGGTATATTTTAAAATGTTTACTAATTTTTCAAAGTTTTAAAAGTTATTTTACATTTATTTATTATGCACAAACATATGCCATGTAATGTTTTAGCCCTATAGCGATTGCTATATACAAATAAATGATTCTAGAAGATATAGTTATATGTGTTGTTGTTATGGCAGTAAAATTGCTGAATGCCAAGGTACTAATAAATTTCAAATTATCGTTAATAATTTTTTTTAGATACCGCATTTAGGAAATTTATAGCACAGTTGGATCTTTGATTGATAAATAACAATTCAAGCATTCTGTCGTTACATTACATTCAACTTTTTATGAAATTCAGTCGTTTGAAATTGTTTTTATTGTAAAGTTTTAAAATTAGCACCTAAAAAATTAGTAGCAATAATTTCAAAAATTTGATGTCTTACTTGTCATAATTTTAGTTTTGATCTCTTAACCACAGACGTTGAATTGTTAGTACTCACGCTTTGAATAGCAGGAATACATGAATAGCATGACAGAATAATGCTAGATTATAACTGCATTCTTCTCTTATATTTACAATTACAGTTACTCATATATTTGTTTGTGCACCAAAAGGATAAATAAATCCAATTATAGATCAAATTGATCAGGCGATGGTGATCGGTCCACCAGTGGATGTCATATTAGATGAGATGAGAGTTTGTGCTGTTGAACTGGAAGAGAGAAATAATTTTTTCGGTGAACTCTCAAAATCTAAAATAATCTATGGCGGAACTGTAGACGTTCTATTGCAGGTTTTAAAACGAAAAGTAATATTCTACACAATTTCTATCTTAATTCTTTAAATTTATGAAATTCATAAATTATAAACTATAATAAAGTCCGTACAGTACTATCATCATGAACTACCAAGCCAACTCTCTAGTAAATTTGGCCGATCTGCTCAACTTATTAAGACTAATAAAATTTTTAGATATAAAGTGTTATTCAATACTTATTTTATAGTTTTGTGAACTGCATTGGATATTTGGCTATAGAACAGATAAGGTATTTTTTAACAGTAAAATCGATGTAGCGAAAATGAATGAACTGTATCAAGATAATGTGGAGTACATTAGAAAAGTTGTGGGAGGAGAACGAAATAATCGATTTTCGGATGTAAGCATATGAATTAAATACCGTATTTGAAGTTTGCTTTTGAAGTTAACTCGTGAAAATAATAAGATTTGACACCAAATATTGGATATGATAAAGAATAAAATAAAATATTTACTTTGTTCTTTACACGTATTTGCGTGAATAATATTTTAAATTACGCACTGCTCTATTTTTATTCAAAACAATGGAATTATCTTTTCAACTTCAGTTAACGTTTTGCCTTTCTCTGAGTTTTTTTTTTGAGAGCATTTTCTATCGCTAAATCTTCATATAAGTTTATTTACTTTACAAAGCCGAAATCATTTGAGGTGGACTATAACATACCAGCAGCTGATCTGAATAAGCAATTAAACGAAGCTATCAATAATGCGTACAGTTTCCATTGTTCACATTCGTATAATTGGGATATCCGAACCAATGATCTTCTGCGATTTCGCTGCTTACAGCTTTTACGTACGCTTGTGTTAATTTTCAATAAATTATTATGAAAGTTTAAAGTAAACACGAAAATTTGATGACCACTTTTGAATAATTAGTACGTAATCAATTATTTGCGAGCAACTTCGTATTTCAGTCTCAGTACGAATTTATGTCTTTGTGAAATATTCAACAGACGTGTAAAAAAATTTTCAACACCCTTACTCTTTCTCTTATGCATTACTGGTTGGTTTATATAGCAAAAATTTGCATAAAAGACCTATGCTGCTGTGATCTAACTTTCTGAAGTAATTTGAAGCCGATTTCGAAAAACACACACGCACCTTTTTCAGCGTTGGATGCACAGTGTCCATTTACACTACCACTCGATGGTTTCTCAGGGAATCACATCAAATGTTGTTGTGGGCATCGGTCCTTCTGCAACTATAACGTGTGCAGTATTTCTTTTATAAGTTGTAATTTGTAGCTAAAAATTTGAATTTATTAATAAATTATAGCTCATTTTGAATTTTATCTCATCATATACATTACTTCGTGCATCTCTTGAAGCGAAGTAAAAGAGACGACTTTTGCAATTTTTATCAATTTTTCACTTATCACAAAATTTAATAAATGCTAAAAAAAATTCACGTGACTGCAATTTATGCAAGCAAATGTAATTTATCTTTATGACTTAACCTACAATATGCATATTTTTTATTTAATTAGTGCACTGAAAAATAAAAAAATATGGAAATTTATTTGCGTAAATGATTAAGCGGTCAACTCTGATGTACCTTATAGTTGGATATCATAAATCGATTCGACCGATACAGTGGAGGAAATTCTTTATGCGGTCGTAATAATCTGTATCACTATGTTATACATGGATATTTCGATTCAGATGAATTTGAATCAAATCAAAGCTGTCTAGTACATTACGCATCAAAAGACGTTCTCAACGATATGGATATAGAAACTACTGAAAGCGGTCGTATCCTATTTTTTTTACCAGGTTATTTATTTATTTTTTTAAATTAGAATTTATTTAATTTTTGATCAGTAACTCATATGATATAAATAGTCTTATTATATGTTCTGATTTATATTCTAAAAATTACAAATATGCAAAATTTGAATTTATCTGTAATCTAAATTCTTTTTTTTGGCTATAGGCTAGTCTTTTTTAACTTGTGAATACTAACTTTTATCATGCCAATTTTACTTCTATAAATATGAATAGTATTTTATTAACTTATCTATGGAATGTTTTTCAAATTATTAAAATATGAAAGTGCCAAACGATTTTTGAATTTAATTTCAAATTTACTACTGTTTAAAATTTAGGCTCTGCTATTCAACCAATTGACTTTACTTATGCCTTACTGCCACCTAACCAATGTACTTACGTTGATGTCGATGTAAGTAGCTTTAAATTTTTTTAAATTTGCGCGATTTCCTTGTTTGCATGTTGAATAAGGAATTACGTAGAAACCAGTTAGAGGTTGAAGATTTCGTGAATGGTTTCTATCTTTTATTTAAAACTGCGAAATTAGTCCAATATAATTTTTTTGTGAACTGTATTTGCCGCATAAGGAATGATTTTTCTTGTAGGGCTAAATTTTTTAAATTCTTCGATTCTGTCAATTAAGCAAATAGAAGTACGCAAGAGATGCTATTATACAAATATAAATACAAATTGTATAGGACAGTAACTTTACTCTACCATACATAATATGTACAGTTGGTCACACAAAATATTAATCATTGATATTGCACGAAAAGCCAATTATTGTAATATTTTCTGTGTAGAAAAAAGAGAACAATTCAAGAAATTATGAATGAAATTTGAAGCAAATATGAAATGTGTTTAGTTGAACAGCGAGTATATCAAAAGTCGTTTCTGCCTCAATTACTCTGTTTTGCATAACTTTGAAACGAAATATTTGCCAATGAGATTGTATTTGTGCAAGTGTAAATCAAGTGAAACTAAACCGAAATGTGATGTGGATTTGGAAAAGCAAATAGAAAAAAGATTTCAAGCAGAAGTAATATTTCTTAGCACTTTTACACATTCATTTATTTACTAAGTACTCTGCATTTTAATTAAAAAATAAATAAATCCATTTTACTGAATAGTCACATAACTCATTTTCAGTATTTAATTAATATGAATCTGAAATTCATATTCACTTTGATTTCCTCTTACGTGAATAAAAGAAGTTATTATTTGCAAAGGATATTTTAGTACTTTCAACATTTCACATTAGACGCATCAGACAGTTCGAGTAAATTTGTATTTTATTTACTGTCTCATCAAATAAAAATGAAACCACAAATACGTAAACATTTCAGCAATATTCTAGAAGTTAGGATAATATCCATTGTTTGTGACATAAATAATTTATGAGAAATAGTTAGAATCCATTTTCAGAAAAAATACCATTGTGCTAAATACAGCCATGCCCGTACTCTCACTGTTACTGAAAAACCAGAAATAGCAGTGAATGAAATCTCAATATTTTGTGCTACAGTCGTAGAAGTGAAATACGCTGGAGATAGTCAGTGATTTTACTGTTAATCCGATTAATTCATTTTCTACATACTTCAGTATGTTTATTTGATTTGAAACTTTTGCTTCAGACAAGTAATTATTCAAATATTTTTGTATTAATCAGTTATTAGCTTTGTTGATAAAACCGTAGTTTTTTGTTTTTCTTTCAAGAAGGAAACAAAAATAATAGATAGAATTCGAAACAGTTCCTCTGTTTTTGCTTAAATGAGTTAAGGAGAGCTCATCGTTAATCACACTGATCTATTCAAAAAAACTGTAATACTTAATTAGCTTTAAATTTGACCTTATATAATATTGTACAATAAAGTGTGGCTATTTTTTTCATAGAAGTATCACTCAAAAATATTACTGAGAAATTTAATTTTTTCAGGACCCCAATATGTCTTTAGTGGAACAATGGCTTTCAGAAGTTTTATTAATTATTTGAAAATTGACCTTTCTATAATACCGCATACAACACGAACATTGTCAGTTATTAATCATTTTTTTACTGTTATCACTTGTAATACCTACTCTTATCGATCAGTTTAATATAATATCTCTTAAATTATGTTGTCAATATTCGCAATCAAAAGTTATTGCTTTGTTCTTGAACTTATTAACACAGATCAGTCTACGATACAGCATGAACCAACGCAATAAAATGGACGGACTGAAAAGAAAAAATGCTTAAAAAATATTCATAAAATAGCGCAATAACTCTGTGTTGAAGAACAATAGAAATGAAGCAAAGTATACAGTACTAAGCTAACATTTATCCCGAAAACTTTCAGGTCACATGAAGCCATAAGTTCATGTTTTCCCGCCCTAAAAAGTGAAATGCATGTATGTTTCTGTCGCAATGAGAAACCCGAGAGTCCTTGTAACTTGAGTGCTTTCGAGAGAATTCGAACCCTCCACTCGGCTCTCTTCACTTGGAATAATTTAAGAGTAAAAAATTATACATCCTTTCTCATTCCCTTATTATTTTTCGATAAATACTAATATCAGTCAAGTTCATTGATAAGTTATGAATACAAAAAACATTAAATTACTTTAATTTTTGACTCAATTTGAAACTTTCCAAAGTTTAGTTCTTATCTTGATTATATATATAATCTACGATACTGTATGACTGATACTAAGTTGGTCGAAAGTGATATTTTGTATTGAATTTAATCACTTCTCAGTCAAATTATAAACTAGATGAATAATCCTTCGACGGAAGTAACTTTACTTACTTCACGTAGTACTGCGCATTTTACTCCAATGAAATACTGGAGGATATGTGCAAGAATATAATTAATATATCAATAACATAGTGAGTAGATATAAGCTGGTATTTACAAATAGATTTCTGATTTAACCAGAATTTTATAGATGATAGAATTCTTTCCAAATGATCTATTACCATACGTAACTTTGAAAGAACCAAGATGGTGTCAGTCTAAAGGATTATATAGTACTATTGCTGTTTATGGTTGGTTTAATGAATTTCTGTCCTTTTTATTAGTCATGAGTAATTATTCAAAAAACACTAACTTAAAATTTTTTATTTGATTTTAATTAAGCTTTTTTCAGAATTAATTTTTAGCGGCATTAAAAGTATAGTGATTAATAATTGGAAATTACAAAAAACAGATGTAAATTATGAAGTATATTTTGAGAGAACAAATAAATAAATAAACCAGTTTATTACTGTTACAATGCAATGGTTGAATTCCGTTAGCTTACTTTTTATTAATAAAAGTGAGCTGATCGAGGCACTTTTCATTCTGTAAAATGACTTATTTAAGGCGAAAAACAAGAAATTATATCAGGGAGCACATGTATGTTCTCAACGTTGGATTTCGTTGATGAAGGTAACTACACAGGTCGCAAAGTTTACCTAAACTTTTTTAAAATTACTTATAATATGATCACTTCATAAATATATATATATATACTATTTTACATAATCCATGAAATTATTCTGCAAAATCTCTCGCTAATTCTATTTTTTCCAACTCAGATAATTATAATTTTTATTTAGTCATATATACAATAACGTGATTAAGTCTAACAGCAATTTTCATGATACTACTTGTATTCATTAGTTGAATCACAAATGTTGTAAGCCATGCAATGATTTCCTGATTTAATTCGTTTAAAATTATAAAGTGACAAAATTGAGTAACGAAATTATCGACTTTGCTGCTTGAATTATGAATAATAACATCAGTATATAAGAAAATCTTAATGCATTTATTTAATGATTGAAATAATAAGTAAACATTTTACAGATTATGGAATATTCTGCAAAGAGATGCTGTTTTTTGAGGAATGTGGCATAGTGATGGATCAGCATCATCAAGAAGAAGCAAAACTCATCTGCTGTTGCGTCTATAATTGTGACACAATTGGCGTATTGTTGCACACATTCCGTAATCATATGGAAAATTGGCTGAGAAGATTGTAGAAACGTTGTAGATAGAAAACATTAAAAAAACGTTTTTCCAAGTGTGAATGCTTTGCTGTTATGCAAATTTAACTTTTTCATCAGTTTAGATTAAATTTTTAATAAATACTTTTATTACCTTGCATACTCCTACACACTACTACAAGCTGTATTTGAATCAAGCCAAGTGTGACGTTTAAGCAAACTCGAAATTTACATAATTATGCCAACTGAGGATTACAAGACTAGTATTTTAATAGTAAAAATGAAAAGTATTGTACGCACTATCAAGAGATTTATTATACAACGGTTGTTACACATTGCGTTTCTGTCATTCATGAGGATATGAAAGGTGATAAATGGTTGATAGTAATTCAGTACATCGATCTCGGAGCTCTTATCTTGTTTTAAAAAGCGAAAATTGAACAGATTTAGAAAAAAGAGAGAAGAGTCCGACAGTTCGACTAGAGACCAGACTGTCTTCTGACTTGCAAAGGTGAAATCGTTTCAGAAGCCTTCCAACTCTTTATCTCTCAACTCATTAGAAGTTCTGACTTATCATTGAATCAGTGCATAATTTGCAAAAGCTTTAGATGCTTTGACTATGGTATTATAAAAATTCTGCCAAGGTTTTCTTTATTAATAGTTAATTAATAGAAGGGAGATTTTCGCGTGAGCAAATAAGTAAAAAGATTGCGCTATAATTTTAGAGTGAATGCTAGGCCACGTGTGCAAAATTCAGAACAGAGATCACATCGACTGATTGTTATGCGACATGCCGAGAGAGCTGATGATCTATTTCCAAACTGGGTGCAGAGATCCACTCTAACGAGTTCGTATAGAGCTTTTGATCTGAATATGGTAATACAGATTCCATTATTTGTATTCTTATCTTCAACTATAAATCATATACCACGTATGCTACAAAAAAAACTGCATTACTATAAATATTAAAACTGAAAATTAATTTCATGAAGTAGAGTTTGACTGAATTTATTCGAAATTTAAATTTTATAAAGTTTTTTTTTCCTTCTATAAAACATTTTTATAAGCCTTTCGTACTTCCATCATTGAGACGACCACTATTACATTATGGAAATGACACGGTGATTACGGAAATGGGTTCCTTTCTGGCGCAAATGGTGGGAACAGGGTTGTTAACAAATAAAACTCCACCAGGTTAGGTGTACAATTCTCGCAATTTTTAAAAAATTACGGTCCCTTACAAATTTCATGAAATGGCAAATTGCAAGAGTTGGAATACATTCGAATATATAAGTAAACACCATCTAATCAATAAGGATTTAGAGAAAATTTGTAACAAAATCTTGAATAACACACCATTATAACACGTGCGTCCGCGTTTCAGTTTGCTTTTTATTAATTTAAACTCTTCGCAGATGCAACATGACTTGAAGGATAAATTTCAGAAGTTGTTTACTCATCCCCAGCTTTGCGTTGCATTCAAACAGCACATTCGGTTCTGAAAGCAACAAACCAAGTAAATGAGATTAAGATCCGTATTGAACCAGCACTGTTTGAGTTTACGGCATTATACCCAGTCAACAAGCCAAAATTCGCAGAACTTCATGATCTTCTAGAAGCTGGCTACAACATTGATTTGAGTTATCAGCCAATACTATCCATAAATGAAGTAAGTTACATATGTGCTATTTCCTTTCCATTTGGTGACACAATATCTTCAAGTAGACTTTTATTTAAATAGTCAAAAAATTTACTAGTCCGTTTTTATAATGCGAGACCCGCAAAACTTCACAAAGCTAGAACGTTTACAAATATAATTCAGCATAAATATGTAGGACCACCCCCCTCATTAAACAACTAGCAAATAACGAACACATTGTCAGAAATAACATTATCCATACACTCCTTGTACGAGATCACATCTAGCCTTCAGTACTTGATGGTTTAAGACAGTAAAATTGAAAGAATATACTCTTATTTTAGCTATTGAGTACTGACGAAATAGCTGAAACGTACAGCAGACGTGTACAGGATGTGTATTCGAAAATTTGCAATCTATGCGAATCTGAACGGACTGATGGTGATACGATCTTGGTAAATATGACCATATTAAAACCGCCCCTTCCCCTTTCTACATGAAACACATGACGCGCAGTCATCTATTATATGGGACTTTACAAAAATTATACTAGAGTTCCCTTTATCTTGCGTTTTGAATTGAGAATCAAGCTACAGCTTACAATTGACTGAATTACAAAATGAAATATTAACGTCACTCAAATGCAGGCTGTTGGACACGCATCCACCGTAGATTTGGCTGTAGGAGCATTTCTGCAACCACCACGTACAAACCTACCTCACGAGATGATAAACAACAATAAAAAACTTCCATATTGCTGTACAGCAGTAATCGACCGAAGACCTGATGGCCAATGGTGGTACAATGTAGACGCCCTTTCATGCGTAACTTATTCCAATTTTACTTCAAAAATTAATCATGACTTCATTACACGGAAGCGTCTTATAACATGAGGTAATAAATGAGTATCACCTCTTTGTTCTTTACGGGATGTTTCTATTTATAACATCTCTTACAGAAATTCCATTTCTGTCAACCACCATTCTATAACTTGCGCTAAAGCGCGACAAAATGATCTTAGTTGAAATAAAGAAGGTCTCATTTAATTGTATCCAAACGTCACAACAATCATGATGAAATCTCTAAAATCAGAGTCAAGTTCACAAAATAAGGTTTGTAAGAATAGCTAAGCCTTTATACATGTGTAACAACAAAACATTCATTTTATTCAATAATGGCGCGGCCCAAATAAAAAATAAAGAAACAACCACTTTTCCCTTTAAACAGCTTCTTCCTTCCCATGCTTTTCTGGTTTACCACCACGAATTCTACCGGTCCTACGCGCAGCAATTAAGCCTACTTTACGTCCAGCACTAGTTCCACGTTTCACCGTTGACGGATGTCCAATATGCTGATGATTACCACCACCATGGGGATGTTCGACAGGATTCATTGCAACACCACGTACTGATGGCCAGCAATTGCGCTTCGCTTTATATTTGTGATATGCATTTCCAGCCTTCAGCATTGGTTTATCTGTTCTTCCACCACCAGCAACAATACCTTAACTTACTTTTCGTCACTTCAGTAGCATCAACTGTGTTTATGACTTTCAAGATAGCGCTGAGACAAAATACAAAAGGCACAGAAAATGTGCAAAACATTACAAATAATTCAAAATAACAAGCCAACATGAATCTCGATGACAAACAGTTTTACAACAGTGTCACATACCAATCATCGCTCGATTTGAAGAATCCAACACTTTTTTCGCGCCAGAAGGTAGACGAACTCGAGTCTTTTTTGTTTCTGGATTATGAGCAACAACAGTTGCATAATTGCCTAGAAACGTCAGATATCATTGAAGTAAATGCAATTAAATTCATAAGAATGCCAATTAATCGTGAATTTACAAACTAACAGTATTTCTGCATCATTACATCAGGTAACTATTTTAAAAATTATTTACGAAGCCAAAACCTGAAGTGCGTGCAAGCCGACCACGATCGCCAGTTTTTTCTTCCAAATTGCATACAGTAGTTCCTTCCGGTAGTTCAGAAAGAGGTAATACGTTGCCAACTTGAACTTGCGCTAAAAATACTTTAATAAACAAATATTCTTTCCTTAATAGTACAAATATATAAATATACACATAACTTCCTAAATTACCTTTACGTCCACAGTAAACAAATTGTCCCGTATGCATTCCTTCCGCAGCAATCATAGTACTTTTCAGGACTTTATATCTATAAGGATCTCGGAATTCAACGACAGCAAGAGGAGCACCACGTCCGGGATCATGCATGATATTCTTTACTATCCCTTTGATATAGCCATGTCGTTCCGCATAATCCACCGGTCGTAGCTTAGCAGCTCCTTTCCGATGCTTGTTATGAGATTTGAAGATGCCTCCTGGACCTTTACGCTGTACACGAATCCTACGCCCCATTCCAGATTACTAATGTCTAAAATTATAACATGCCAGCATTTTATTATATTTCTATTTTGATTCACAACCATTTACGTGCCAAAAGCGAATAATTTTTTCTTCACAACTGTGATATTTTAAAAAGCTGTCACTAAATTACCTATGATGCACACAAGTACTATCTTTTTTCACTTTCCGATAGCGAACATTCATGAATACTATAGAAATATGAAAACTCAATTGCACCATATATCAGTAAGAGTAAAATCTAATAAGGTACATAGTATCAATCTAATCATAAAATCAGCTTAGAACCAGAACAGAGATATGCAAATTAAACGCCACTACAAGTAGGTGAGAATATGAACTACTCCAACTACCACACCACATCCATAATGTAGCAGTACGCATGTTTAGGGATGGAAAACTGCACTGAACATTCTTAGTCTCGATGTGCAATTTTCTGTCCCATGTATTAAATATATTTCATAGGGATTACATTGATGTACTTTGGTTGGACGACAGTACACAGTACATAAGCACAGTTCCGTAATTCCTTGTCTTAATTGTTCATAATAGAGGTACTATTTTCTTTCTGGTTTCAAAAAGACCATTTGGGATAGCAGTTATCCACATTAGCAAGAAGTATTATCGACAGATTAAAAAAATACTTTGTGAAATACTTGCCAGAAGCGTCTCACGTTTGAAGTTCTGCATGAATTAATCATTTTTCAATAGATTTACACTGCAGTAGTGCAAAAACAAAAACATTGAAGGAGTTTGAATTTTTATCACGTGGAAGACAGAAAATTCTTTTGCATTGCAGTCACGCAAATAATTGATTTTATGTGCTTCAATAGTGGAAACTGAATATGCCTGTGGTTATTGGTTGGAGTGGTGTGAGCAGATGAGGTAGTTTGTAGTAAGCATTGATTCACTCAGTGATGCTTATTTCATGGTCGTATGTTTAACGTCACTGGTATTGATGTATTTTCTAGTCCTAATTAAATTCCTTTATAAGACCTTTAATCTTTATGAATTTGTCCATTTTTGAGTAGACTGATATGTGATCGATTATTCATAATAATGAACATCTTTCAGATTGCATTTTCATTATGCGTTTTACAGATTAAACTGCGTAGTAGTTTACCTCTCTTTGGTGGCAATGTTAGAGATTTGGTTTCAAATGTAATTGATACCGGCCACGAGTATCATTAAATAGCTGAATGTAATCCTCGACAAGGGAATATGTGATAGTCGTTGTAATGAAAATTGATAATCTGACTACGACAACAGCAGCAACGCATCATCGCATGCAGGTGCCTAAAGCACCATCCTATTATGTGCCTTCAACGGATGTGGTTACAAGTATTGTTTTACCAACAATCTTATTTTGTATTGCTATGGTGATCGCCATGATCGTTGGAATCAACAAATGCAAGCAATGGGATTTGGATAAAATTGTGGAAATGCGACGTACCAGGCGTGTAGTTCAGCGTATCACAGCACAGTTACGGGAAAAGAACTTTCGAACAATACAGAGTGAGTTGGAATATATACAATATTTCATTATTGTATAACAAAAACATTCATATTTAGTGATGTGTGAGAAAATCAAAGTGATGACATCCTTAGTTCCTGACACTTGACACTTATTTCAAGGGACTTGACAGTAAATCAGTTTGTGTTTCAGACTTGGTACTTTAAGTTACATACTTTTTTTCTTTTTTTTTTTTTGAAAATATGCCAAGTATTTTTTTTACTAAACATGTTTTTCAACAAATAAGTCTGTACTTCACGTAAATTTACGTTTCCGCTCTCTCTATTCATTTTCTGTTAAAAATTGGGTTATTGGTGCGTGCGTTTTTAAGGATTACTTGATTGATTACTTCGGTCCTTGCAACAACCAATAAAGTAATGCTTCAAGTAAAAATGAGTTTTAAATTCGTTAAAATATTTTTAAGTAAGTTACATTTCGTGTTCTTCAAATATTATGCAGAAAAAATTTTTCCAGTTTTTCTTGAAAGATGATTAGTTAGTTACTTGCCAATATAAATGATTGCACGCAGTTCGGTTTTGTAGATGTTACCTAGAAATATATCAGTCAATAGTACTTTAGTATAGGGAAGAATTCTACGTCGGATTTTTTGACTTCATGAAGATATTGAAATTTTGTTTCAAAAAGTAGTAAATTTTTTAGAAGCTCGCAGTATGCGACAACGGAAGAGAGCGCGATTGAAAGCTAATTCAAGCAGTCAGATGAGTGACCCTATGCTAGTTAACAGTAATGCTCCACCAACTTACTCTATCAACCCACCAAGTCAGTACGGTATTTCACCTCCACCTAGTTATGAAGATGCACTTCTCGATGAGTTCTTCAATGAATGTCGACCGATACAATACTAGCATTGGCATGTGGTTACAATTCATTTTAGTCTCAACTGAATTGACTGTTGAATTCGTTGTGTAACGAGAACTGAATTTATCTTTACTGATGCAAAATTGTGATTATTTGATAATTAATTTAGATAGTAAGTGATAATCAAAGTAAGCATAATATATCGAACAGCAAAGTGAGAATTATATATCTAGTTTTACCGGCCTCAATTATTTGTACTCGGTGCACTATTTGGAAAATTTTAAAAAATCTACAATTGAAATAAATTTATGGTAGTGTAACAGATGGGACAAAAATACGGCCCGTCTCGTGCATCTGTAATTCAGCCTGATTCAGAAATAAGTATGCATTTTAAACTTGTTGCTAACAAGGATATTGGAATTCAATATATCGTGGGTATGATCAAATATTTCACATGATTTCGATACTGTAGCCAGTATGGTCCATATTTTGCCAAGCATCTAAAGTGAAAAAATTTTTAATCTTATCAAAATGAAAATTAATTTTGCAAAAATTTTCAATATTTAGCGATGTCCAATCTGCTTAAAACTTAAACACTAGTGGCTTTATAATAGTAAAGGTGTGAAAACTGATTAAAATTTACCGCAATTCGTCATGTTTCAATCGGTAATAAAGATAGCAGGTGAGAAAGATTAGAGGGGAACAAGTAAAAATTGTATTAGGTTGTTGTAGCATTGTCCAGGATGCAAACGTAAGCCATTCACAGAAATAGTTTGGATGCCTACAAAGACCCCACCATCCACTACCTGAAAAATAAATCATTGTGCGCAATAATCATTCCCTAAGATGTCATTCATTTTCATGTCTATCAAATGCATCATATAGCATTTTTCATCTGCTGGACTGACTTTTCCAACGTTGAAATGACAAATTTTCAGATTATTGTTAATTATTTCAGCATGCTCTCTTCGTTGTTATGTATCTACATATGGTAGGCTGAAGAACGATTACTAGTATTCTCCCTTTGGCAAGAAAAAGAAAAGCAGCTTAATCATATTGTACTGAATTAGTATAGATTGTGCAGTATTTTTTAAATTAAAAGTGAATAAAAAATACGGAATAAGATTTTAGAATAGTAGTTATTATGTAGAACATACCTAGAAGTAAGTTAGCAGCAATATCACCATTTTTGCGACGATATTTAGCAGTGATGAAGAAAGGATCTTCACCCCAAACTTTCATATTCCCATTTGCAAGTCTAAACTGTACCCGTAGCTGATCGATGTCTGCCGTGACATATACCGTAATAGTACCGATGAAAAGTAAAATTGCACTGATATGCAAAGGTAAAAGAACCTTACGTTGTGCGAGTACCGTTATAGGTGTGGCGTAAAATGACGGGAATAACACTAGCGCACCCCAAATGCAGAAGAATCCTGAATTAAGAGAGTATTAATTTGAAATAGTAATTATGGTTGTGCTACAGAGAGATGTAAAATAATGTATTGATGACTTTTGACTACACTTAATATATTGCACTGAAATACCGGTTAAAACAATGTGAATGCGTGAACAATGCAGACGAGATGAAAATAAGTGCATAGGTTAATCCTCATTTTATAAATCCATTTGTGTGAAGAGAAGTACATAGTTGAAAGATCTACGAAAGCAAAGTTACTTTTATTCTTAGTTCGTTTTTAATTGTAGGGGACTCATTACGTTATGAAAGTATTTAAAAAAACAAACATACGTGACAGATTTTGTCAACCAAAAATTAGCATAACGTAAAACATGAATTTAAGAAGATCCTTATTGATTTGTTATCAGTAAGCTCCAATTTTATTTATCCTATTATATTATCAGCGAATGATCAAAATATTCATGGACTCATTTCTTCTGATTAAAACTTGTAATCTTTTAAAATTTGTATGCTAAACATTAGAAATAGGTATAATTAATTACATGAATGGTTGATGATCCCTAATTTGACCTTGCTCTGATATTAATGGACTACAAAAACAAGGTTAAATGATATTATTTATAAATAAATTTATATCTATTTATTAATCAAGTCAATAACATATCGCTATCGTAAATATATAACCACCTGCTCGCTGGTTTTGTGCATCCAATTGACTGTAGCGCAAATGTTCGTACCAATGTGTTTTTGCAATGTAAATAAGTTGTAAAATTGCGCAAGCTAGTAAATTATCTGAATAATAAAAAGTAATAAAGTAAAGTTCTTCAGTTCATGAAGTTCAAGAAATGCAAAAATGATATGATGTTTTTATAAGTAAGTGACTGCTGCATACTGTGTGCCGTTCTTAACAATTTGGTAGATTTTGGTACGTTACACTGTCTAACTTTCAAGCCAATTTACTCCAAAAATTTGATTGAGTTCGTTATCAAGACCTAATGCAATATTAATTTATCAATTTCAGGGAGCAATAAATTTTATTTGTATTTTATTTTGAATTTTAAATTTGTTATTCGCTTTGCTTAGACATCGAAATATAAAAAATAAATAAACCAAAAAAAGCAAGAAAAATTTTTTAAACACATTTACTATTGATTTTTCCATAAAACGAGTAATTATAATAGACTGAAGAGATAATATATAGCGGCCATAAAGTTCGAGAAATCCTGTAGGTGATAAAATGTTTGAGATCAATTGAATAAATCATTGGCGTTAAATCAGTGCCGAAAAACAAGCTACTAATAACATCAGCTAAAAATCACTGGTATCACATGAACGTTACTAAGTCTATCTTTCGTCTGTTTACGCTTTTCAACAACGAATTTTAAGGGGAAAAATTAGTGATAACTTAATCATAATTTTGTGCTGAAAAGTTGTTATCTCACTGTTTGCTTATCCTTTTTAAATATTTTTGACTTTCAATTGTTTCAGTAGAAAATAGCTTAGTATATGACTTCAAAATAAATACACGTCAAACGATATGATTTGATATCGATGGAATAATTCCTCAAAAGCACTGAAAAATATCTCAAATTGGGACCACTTTAGAAAAGTTTTCAAATTTTTTCGTGAAGTAATTCTTGTTACTACGAAATTTCTCAGCTGTATTCCGTTGTTAAATTAACGAAAATTGAATTCACGCGAAATTAACGTAATTTTGAGTTTCTAAACTGAACTGAAAAGCAATAATTTGTGGATTTTAATGGCAACAGAATGCTTTAGAGTGCCACGTACATGTGTCTTCGTCCCTATGTCTCTGTCGTAGAAATAGTGACAAGATTATCACCATAGATATTAAATTCAACAACAGTAAAGTTTCAATCCAATTCAAGTAAATGATTGAAGCTTTGTAAAAACCCAAGGCTGAACCGAGAATGAATAATAATATAACGAGTAAGCATGAATAAAACGAATTGACTGAACGTTTTTCACGTTCTCCTGAAATACTTATTAATCCTTCATCACTCAGCAATGCACATTAATTACTAATATTTCGTTCAATATTTAAATTTTTGGAGTTTCTGAGCATTATTTGACTTATCCTATCATAACTTTAAGTATCTTGACTAAATATTTTAATGATTAACAAATTTATACCCATGCTGTTGAGGACTGTCTTGTTATCTCCTGGCAGGACAAGATAGAATACAAGTTGCAGAAGAGTGATAAAAATGATAATTTTCCAAGCAGCTGAAGAAAATGGTGAGGGAAAAATGCGTTGGAAAACATTACTGCCAGACCACAATGTTTGAAAAAACTAAAATTTGTATCAGTTCATGAATAGCAAATATAAGAATTTTAAAAAGATTCACAAATATTTTATAAAAATTGAATTTGAATATACGACTGAAAAATATGAAAAAGGAGCGAGTTAATAATTACAAATTATACCTGTAAAAAGGTGGCATCGCAATCATTTATAGCGTATAGATGTAAAAAAAGTAACAAAGGTGCTCCACAAAGTGTCCATACAAGTAATTGCGGTGAAGTATTCTTTGCCTTCTGAAGTAACAAAATTAGCTGCAATGTTTTAAAATTCACATGTTGATCGAAGAAAAGAAATGAATAGATTAAAGTAATTAAGTTGAAAATTTTAATACACAAAATTCGAGGCTTCTCACGAATAGAGCAAACTTCATGACATATTCAGTGATCAAATTCAGACTTCCATACAGAACAGTGTTTAAAAGTGAAAAGCTCAAATTGACGAGGATAGAAGTGGAAGTTTCGCTGCAGCAAGTAGATTTCAAAGATTTTTTAAACTCAGTCTAGTTACGTCTTAATTAGATCAGAGGGGGTACAGTTCTAATTTAAGCAGCCAATCCTAGTTTGACAGCTAAAATTTAAGAAGTGAAAGAAAAATTAGATGTAAAGATAAAAGATGCAAAAAATTGAAGAACAAAATTTCTAGAAGTAAAAAATTGAATGTGAAATTGCATTTGATTTATTCGAAAAAATCGTTTAATAGCACTATGAACGTTTTATATTTTGCATTTTCAGACATATATAAAATCATTTCAGTGAATATTACAATGAAAGTGCAAGAGTCTGCTTCAAGTACTGAATTCTTGAATTGATGTAATTCATAAATTAGAAGCGAAGCATCACTTGAAAGCTATCAGAAATTTTCGGCAGATGTTTGGTTTTGTATCACAATTATGTTTTATGCATGTCTTCTGGTTAGCTTTGCTAGAAGCATCCAAACGGATGTACACATTCATTCATCCGAAATGCACTTAAAGCCTAGTATTCACAGAAGACAGCTTGTAGCTTACATAATAATATTAACATTAATAAAACAATGCCAAAGCGATAATCACATTGGGATAGATAATTTCCATCAATGACTTTACAAATAATTCCATCTCAAACATATTTGCTTTTTTTGAAAATTTGTAAAAAATTTCGTTTAAACAAGAAGCGAAACGGAGCAGAAGTATTGATCGCTGAGAAAACACCTCAATTTCGTCCTCGCTTTTTTATAAACTGCATCAGAATGTTTTATCACTGATGAAAAACATTGAATTCTAAGCCTTGGGTATGATATGCATACGTGCTAGCAAAATATAGAACAAACTCGCAAGTTAACAAACTCATTGTCACAAAGTATAACTTTGTGACTAATAACTGATGAACGCCTCAATGAATCCTCAATTACTTTGCAAGTACATATTATGACGTTTATGTAAACGTAAGCAATAAATTTGCGCATAAGAATGGCAGTGAGTTTTTTTAATGACTTACTTTTTATGATTAGTTAACTTAACTATTGTTATTTATTTTAAGAGTGGATAAAAAAGTATAATCTACGTTTCTGTTCTATTTGAATAAATTTAAAAAAATGAAAACCATGGACTACTGTGTGTTGCATAATTTACACTTTATCCGACTTCACTATACAGTATTTGCTTACAATCAAAGCTTTTAGCAACTAAAACTTTATAAGTAACTCTTGAAATATTACTCTTCCACTCTTTACTAGCGGTCAAAGTAAGTAACATACTTACTTGGGCAGCAGCTATCTGAATGCGTTCAATGTCTTTCAAATTTGACGATGAACGTCTTGATGGAAGGGAATGTTGCGAGCTAACCAGTGAAGTACGACGACTGCTACGAAGCATTCTGGTATTTATTAAAAGTAGTATTCGTGCTGTTAATAAGAGTAATTGCTCTTTACTTATAATCAAAATAAGTACTCCATTATTATTATTAATATTATTATTATTATGAATATTATTAATATCGTAAATGTATAACTTTTGGAGTCGTTATTTGACAAAACTAACATCGTTCGAGACGAATTAGCATATTCTCTTGCAGGCAAAGTAGTTACTTCCAATTTAGCAAATGACCGAAAGCAAAGAAGACGAACTCAGAAGACTAGTCCTTTCTTTCTTATATCTATCTATCTATCTATCTATCTATCTATCTATCCATCTATCCATCTGCTATCTACCTATCTATCTATATATCCATATGTATGGAATATATACATAAATATTGAGAGTGGAAAGAGGCATAAGAGTTGTGCTAGAAATCTTCTTCTTAACAGACACATTTCTTGCATTACATTACACAAACTATTCATCCTCTATCAGTTTTAGCATAAAACATCTAAGATAATTATTAAACTCTTTCTCTTTGATCGAAGTGTAATCAACAAACTAATTGCTAAGAATAAACAAACGAGACACTGTTGTTTTTGCATGCGTTTTTCTGCAACTATTAACCACTAAGACCTCTATCAAAATATTATTGCAAATCGCTTTTACATAAGCTATTGATAAAAGACTGAAAGGTTAAAGTTTAAGGACACATTTGCAAATACACGAACTACGCTTGCTAACAGTCTCCTACTTAGTAAAGACTCCAACAATTCGAACTGTGAAGTTCAGATATCACAAATACATTAGTATCAGATTCTGCACTGACTTTTCATCTTGTCTCCTGATTAACTGAAAAGACAAATTTATACTAGCAATCTGATACCAAATCATTACCACTGAATTCGATATTGAATTATCAAAGACAAATTATTACTGTCTGCTTACAGATATCAAATGATAAGAGAATGCAAAATCGCGTATGTTAATGGATCAGCGAGTTTTATTCCGATTAATTCAATGCTTGCAACAACAGAAGACATGAAATGTAAGCATGGCAAGTTCATAGTTCAAACGTTTACTTTCACTTTCAATGTGCACAACAAGAAACTGTCATCATTGAAGCGAATTCTTGCACAAGACATTGCTTTTAAAGTTTTGTGTTCATTGCGAATGCAATTAAACTTCAATAATACAAATTGAACTCATCAATGGAAACGACTGAAAAGTCTCTGTCCATTTCGTTCAATCTCACATTCAGTTTATCCTTTGTAAGCTCGATTTATGCATATTTACTGTCATATTTATATACTTATATACATATTTCTTTACCTTGTAATAACCACTTTTGGATAAGGATTTTATCAAATATCCATCACCTCCAACCGGATGTGCGATAACGATTTTCTTAACACAGCATTTTCAGGGCCCAAAGTTCTCTCATTCTAATTACAGTCAACAGCAACAACTGAATGACGTTACAGAGCCAGCTAATAATACAGTTTCTCTTCGATAGTTGCGGTGCCCTCTGACACTTCGACCTTCAAACTGCTGCATTCAACATGACTTTCAACTCCATTCTAGCAATATATCGTTGCTGCACCTTACTACTTTGACCTCTACCACAAACTGCATACTGACTTCAAAACAGTAGCATTTTGACTCACAACCTTGCTCATCCTTAATTGGTTTCTTGGTGCTTTCAACAATGTCTGGAATTCCCTTCAAACATTTCTAACAGTTCGTTTCAATTTTTTAGTCACGCAGTCATGTTTCTCCATCTTGTTTTTATCACTTACTTTGGTAGACAAGCCAAAACATTTCTATTTTTGGTATTAATTGAAGCTATGTCAGAAATACAAAATGTGAATTATATCTTTGATAAGACTTTGACTGTATGACAATGATATAATAATCGAATTTAGATGATTTAATGCTAGGGACTTTCATCTCAAGCAATAGCATCTCTGCTTCAGTCTCTCATTGCACGTAGAGTTCTTTATCAAATATTAACTTACAGTTTTAAGATTGCTTCATTTTTAGAAATATTTAGTGATGGTGCATTGGAAGAGGACGATCGATACTGCAGAAACAAGTAATAATTGTTCTATGATATCTCTTGATGAAAGTTCCGTGCCAAATACATCAGTTGCAAGCAAGGTATAATTACATGTTTCAGTCTTATTTGTTTTCAACTTAGTTAATTATTATTAAAGTTAATGATCTTATTGATGTGGTTACACTGTTCACAAGTTAAACCAATGTGGTTGGAGCTCGTGTGATCAAGATTCTAAAATTTTTGTGATTACTATTATTATTATTATTATTAGCATAACATGTGTTGTAAAATACGCTAATTATCAGGCAATTTCCAACATCATCAGATCATGAAGCGAAAAATCAATACTTGATTTATAATTTATTTAAATTTAAAAGTCCAATCAGTGAAAGGTCAGTAAAATAATTCATCAGAATAATAGCTATTTATTGAAACTTCCATCCAGCAATATGCTGGTATGTAATTTCAAGCTTGTATCATTCAAACATATTTCGCTGTATTTTCACTTAAAATTAGTCTGTATTATAAAGAGATGAAATATCTGAGATTAATTTTTTTGTCTGATGAAAAATTATCGTCATGGATTTCAGCATTCAAATATTGTCGCCCGATTAACAAATAATATAGCGGGCAATATTCAAGAGTTGGTGTTTCAACGTCACAAAGTAGCTAATAGTAAGAGAGGATATTTCTACTCAGCAAAAACTTCCGTAAATTATTATGATTTTTCTAATTGCCTAGTTATCATGATTCCTAAATATCAACACCAAGTATTCATTTGTTAATGTTTAATTATCTTTTAATTTCTTAAAGAGACAGCGATTCCATTCCTTCATTACAGTTAGCTAAATGTTTGTCAGAAATAGACCTTTCTTTATGATGTCATTTTATTACCATTAAGCATCACACGAAATATAAATGAGCATTAATGACTTATAATTCAAAAAGTTCATTGAAATGTAAACATATTCAGCATCAGTCGAGCAAAATCGTTCATCTAGGACAAGAAGAAAACTCGGAAATAGAAGGTTGCGATTACGCCATTGCAGTTGTGAATAAGCGAACAGGAAAGGCGGAATTTCTTCCTACTAAATTAATTTGTTTCGAAAATGTCCCAGCTCACGATTTTGAAGCACTTCTTAATGGGTTTGAATTATTATCATTATTTCGACCTCTAATATTTGCACTTCGTGAAAAAAGTTTACTAGAAAATTCTAAATCTGTTAAAATATAGTTTTCACTCTTAAAAAAAGAAATATTGTAGTCCGAATAAGAAAATTGATTACTCGATCGACAACAGTATTTTGCGGGAATCAATGGCTGAAAAAAGGCGTGCTTTAATCACTGAATTTGGCTCAGCAAAAAGAAACAAAGCTCAAGAAGCTAGCTTGCGGAGGCAAATCAAAGATGTATGTCTAGTCAAAAGTGCATCTGAAAAATATTAACAATGTAAAATTATAATTAACAGTTTTTTAATTATGTTTTTAGAGGTATACTAAAAAAGACTAGTTTTTGTGTGGAATTATCTTCTTAGTTTAGATTTTAAAATTCTTTCATATTAAAGGAAACTTTGGCTGTCATGATGCAGTCAGTGTTTGCCTCTACAAAAACGAAAGAAGAACCAGTCGAACAGAAGGTTGAAATCTCAATGTTAGCAAAGGTAACTGTATTTGGAGTATGGAAATTCAAACTTGAATTCACCATTATTTTTGAGAAATTTATTTTGGACGAGAGTTGTCAACTATTCCCATCGTTCAATAACTTTTCTGTTTTGTGCAAGGTATTTTTTCATTTTTTTCAGCCAGAAAGTTCAGTATTGCCAAAAGCAAATATGGAAGCGAAATCACCACAGGATGTATATACTTTCTCAATTTTTTTGTCCGATGCAGAAATTTCAGCTCTGCAGTCTGAAGCATTACAATATTTAAGCAAGTCAAGAAAAGAGCTTATTGAGAAAGGTAATAGTTTTTGGGTTTTTATTGAACTTTATTTGCATGCGGTATTTTTTTATGATTTTTTAGCAAATTTTCATCGTTTTCAAAAGAAATTATTCTATGCTGTGAATATAAATCTTTAGCTGTATCACCGTTATAGGATTTTCATTGCTTCTGTGCAATTTTATTGGCGATCTTACCGTGAATCCCAAACGGGCTTGTTATCTTCTTTTGCTTGATGCAATGATTCATTGCTACAGGGTATGTTTGGTTTGCCACCAATATTAATTCGAAAATTTTTCAAAGGTTTTGTCTTACTAGATTAGAAAATTTCTTGGATTTTTAAAACTTTCTTATTTTGCTTAAATACCCCAGAAAGTATTTTATCATGTTTTTGTTCTTTAGTTAATTTTATTTTGCAGATCGTGTCCAAACGTCGTTTTCTCTTTGAAGCACTTTTTTTCAAGGAATTGCAATATCCAGTGACAGTTTTAACTAAAATACGTGAAATGTTTTTCCGTAAGATTTTATGTGTGAATAATATTTAGTTGGTTGTACACATTTATAATATAAACTTTACTTTATCTTTGAATCAAGGAGCGATTAAATTTACTCTGTTGGAGAGTGTAAAGAAAATATAAAGTTTACTGAAACAAAAGTACATTCAGTTGGAGATATGAAGTATGTTTATTGCAACTTTTGTTTATACTGAGTGTCTGAAAACTATCGAAGAACAGTTTCTTATCTCTATTATGCTTTTATTTCAGCTGGTGAATTTGTCAAGGATGACACAAGAAGTAAGCCAAAGATACCGATTAACTTGATGCACAAAGATAGATTGTTGTCTCATGTTTTGTGTTTGGGTATTATGTTGAATCGTAAGTTTATTTTATTGCGAGATGTCGAGTGTATTTGTTGTATTCTCGTAGCAGTTAACCCTATTGTTGATAGCATCTTATTTTATTGTTGTTAGCACGACTTAATATTGTTTGAATCACGATAAATTTTCAGAATGTTCAAGAAGTGATTAATTTTTTACACTGGGGATTGTATAATGCCATATGTTTTTTTGTAAATACGATTCGTCATACATTTCAGATGAAAACATGATTCTACCGATCTCACCGTGGGCTAAAGAACTTGGTGCTCCTGAGTTAAAGATTACCAAATTAGCGACTGCTCTTGGTTGCAGGCAAGTGATTTTTGAAAAAAAAGTTTAAGGATATGGTTATTTATAATATTTTGATTATATCAAGTAAAGCAAAATGTTTCCATTGTAGCGTTAGTTTTGCAACAACATCTGAAGGTTTACGCCTTGGTACGACCAGAGTAGCAAAGCTAGTTGGACCACCTCAGCCTCCAAAAAAGCGATATGGCAGACAGTCAACCGCACGTGCATCAAAATCTTGATCTTCTTGATATTGAAAATTAAAAACATTCATTCATTAGTATTGTTATCCATTTTTGGCGTTAATCAGTTTCATTGTTGTTGTCTGTTTTCATAGAATGCGTTTCAAATGAATGAAATTGCATATTAATGGGATTTTTCACTCATAGCACTTTAAAAACAGATATATCACTAATCCGATCCTAGAGGGAAAATTATTATGATATTTGCACCTATACTATTTGTCCAATTTTAATTCATTTGATATTTTTTAATTTCATATGAGATGCAGGTTTTCTTTCCCAATTGATTGATATTTTCCATACAAGTAGTCTTCTATAAGAAAGTGGTTTGTGTGGATATTGAGGTGGATGTAAGAATGGGGTGTGTATTTATTGATATGAAGACTGGGTTTACGATCAAGAAAATTATAAGATTGGTCAGATCACAAATGATATGAGAAATTGTGCGAAAGCATATAATAAGGATGTATACGGTGGTAAACACTACAATCTCAGAGAATAGAATGTGTGATCAAGTTATGATAAAGAGAACTTTGTGGTCAACATTAGTTCCTTTTTATGGTTTGTAATACAAAAATAAAGAGAAAATACAAAAGTAGTGGGAAAGTATTCATTCTATTGTCACTGTTATCGACAAGGATTGCTTCGCTTACGTCCATTTTTCAAATTTCAGAAGAAACAATTAGAATGTAAGAGTTGAAGGGATTATGTAGTTCGATTACTGGGTCATAAGTTTTTCTTGATTTGTAAAAATTTTGATTGTGCAAGATGAATGAGTACTAATATTCATTATGGAAATGGGAAAGTAGACAGCTTTAGTGGTTGAAATTTAATTGTTGCTTATAAAAAATCAAAACTAAATGCTAACATTTTTATACTATAAATTAAGAGATAATTAGGTATAAGTAATGCGCGAACGAAATATTTGCAATGTTATCAATGATTCTATTTCTATTTCGTGATTCTCTTGCTAAAATAATCTACACTAACAATAATATTGCTATTATCAATTTTTTTAAACTATAGTATCAATAGTGATATTACTGTCATCGTATGGCCTAAATAATAAATATAATCGTGATAAAAAAATTGTAATTAAATGATTTAAATAGATCATTATTAGTTCTTAGTTCTTTTATTATTAGTGCGATGGTGAGTTTAAAAACAGTCTGTGTGTAGTTGTGTCAGAAATTCACTTGCATTCTATTTGTATTATTCATTCATTCATTCATTCATTCATTCATTTATTCATTTATTCATTCATTCATTCATCCATTCATTCACTCACCGTCTTACTTTCATTTTTTTGTGAATTACACTGATGGGAGTGAGAAAGATGACGAAGATGATGATGATGTTAGTTCACTTGCCTGCCAGCTGTTTCTTCGAGCGGTCACTTGTAGTATAATGAATGCTCAGTCCACTTTTTTAGAAAATTGGGCTAGCACCTGGCAGGCACACAAGTTACTTTGTTAAACTTTTCGTGCTACAAATATTTGCATTAATATATTTCTTATCAGTAAGCAAAATGGAATTGTCATTCACTAAGTTATCATGTCGTAAGAGCAAAACTGATTGTATTCGTTAACGTTTTGGGCAAATTAATTATTCTGAAAACGACGAAATATGCAAATTTTGCTCAGAATATCCTCTTTTTTCGCTTGAATTCTTAGCATAAAATGCAATATTTGACTTGTTAACTGCTAATGTTTGTTCTGCTCAGAATTAATTTTGAGCAGAAAAGTAGCAAACTTTTGTTTGCAGTATTGCTTATTAGACTGTTAGTGAAGTAGAAAGATAGCCATAAGGTTCAACTTCAGTTCCGAGTTACATTATTTACTTACTTCGAATATACTATTTGAGTAGAGAACTGATAGATAGCTTCTAGCAACTTGACAATATTTAGTCCGCTCTCAAACACTGCTCCGAGATGATTGCCATCTGAAACTGAATTGTTCTATCCATCTGAATTCTTTCTCGAAATTTCTTTTCCAGAATATTACTCTTCCGTTCAACGTCAGTACTCGTTATTTACTATGTTTTTATTTCTTCTGCATTTGACACCAATAATAACGTTTTCCCTTTTCGTTTCGCCCTCATTTCTTACTCCATTTGCTATGAATTCTAATGACTGTCTCACGAAAAAACTTCTGCCTTCCTTATTTTTTTTGCCAGTTTTGAGAATAGTCGTGTCCTTATTTCTGTATTTCTGATAACATTTACTGCTAATAATTAACAATAATAATAATAATAATGATAATAATAAAATAATAAACAATAATTACAGCAATGGTAGTAATCAGTAATCAGTGTAAAAATAATACGTTTTGATTTTAATTTTAATATTGTGTTATAATATCTGGCAGCAATGATTGATAGTTGGATCATAAAATTCAGTTAATATAATGAGGTTGATTACTTATTAAGAAATAAATGAAAGATGTAAAAAGAAAAAGTAATAACATTATATTGAGAACAGAAGTAGTAAATTATAACTGAGATGGTTATAAACGATAGAAATTATGATTGATAGTAGCACGAAATGATATATATATCACTGCTACTGCTATATTCAGTTTTATTATTGCTGCTGGAAATAATGATAATGTTTGTTATGATGACAATTATAATAATAACAGTGCGTGGTCAAACTAGTACGGATGCCATAATGATAACTGGAAGGAATAGTATTCAGAAGCAACCAGTTGGTGGAACTCGTTTTAGTTTCTTTTATGAGGCAAATGTTAAAAAAGTTCAGTTTACTAGCTTCTAGCGATTACTTTAAGAAATACGGCGTTATTCTGACTTTTAAACCTCATATCAAATAACTCAAATTGTATTCGATTTTTATCGTTCCTTTTTCTCGTAAACTGTTATTCTTTCAATACTTAAAAAAATATATTTCCCAGCTGCGAAAATTTACACTTTAGTAATAAATACTAAGAGCTGTAATAATATTATTAGCGTATTTCATGTATTCATTCAGGGAACAGCTTTGCTTTTGCATGGATTTGACGTGTTTGACGCTTATAGTATGATATTAAGATCTGTGAGGAAACTCAGGCGAAATTTTGATGGAATTTGGATGTACTGAAAAACAATATTTTTAAGCAAGCTTACTAGCCGTGTTTGTATTATCAGAGCAGAATAACTTTAATAAGTTCTCAGCTACAGCTAGAAGTTACATTTTTGCCTGTAAGAAAGAAATTATTTTCGTAGATTTGTTATTATCGCTTTATTTTACGCTTGCGAATGCAGAAGTATGCAGTGCTTAAGAACAGCGAATTTTTCAAGCCAATAAAACTATTTGAAGTTGAAGCACTGTGTCATTGATGGAAGCATACTTTATGTAGTCAGTTTGATTTGGATTTAAATGGACGAATAATATTTAAACAATAAAATTAGTAAAATTAGCTGATTAGCATAAACAAATCACAGATATGTGTGAAATAATATTTATGAATTGTTTATTTTATTACTGAAATGAAAAGCCAACATACTACCACTAATTATTTATTTTAGTTACAGTGTGATGTTATTAGTGTTTACATTATTTCAAGTTCAAAATTTTATCAACAGCCCAAAAAAAATTACTAGCAATGTTTGATAAGTTTACCGCTCCCTTTGACCTGTTGTGATTAATTGATAAGTTTTATATAATGCTAATGACTGGTTGAAACTATTTTTGCGTAATAATGCGGACGTAGACAAGAATATCATATGGCAGTAGCTGAAGTAAAGGTTAAGGATAGCGACCTTTACTAATACATTTTCAAGACACTATGCATTTATTTGTTTTCCTCCTAAATTTTCAATATTTGGTGCAAAATATTCAAAAATTAATCCTTTCCTAACCTTTTATTTACATTATTGCTTTATTGAAGTAAATTTTATAAGTTAGGATAAGAAATTTTATTGCCAATAAACTGATGCAGAATGCATATTTTGATACTATAAAAGTTCACTCTTATCAATTAATCAAGGACTGAATTCGCAGTGATAATATACAGATGCTTATCGTAGCAGACGCTTATCATATATTATCAAAAAGCGATAAGCAATCAGTTTGTGATGTTGGTCGCATGCATCTGTGCGATGGAAAAAGTCAGAACTGGTTCCTTCTGCGTGTAATTTTTATTTTCTGATTCTATACTTGAACGCATGTATGATCGTTGCATGCCTGTGTATTGCTTGTGTACTGCTTGCTCATGCATTAACTGCCAATTCAATCTCTATTGCATTTGCGATAAAAATTTCTCTACTTTTTTAAAATTGATTTAAAAATAAGAAAAACTAGTTTAGTAGTTTTGGAAAAATATTCACAAAACTATAAATATTATGAACTTTGAATTATTAAGTTATCACTAAACTTACTCTTTGATGTCTTCAAACTAAAGTCATCACACGTCTTCACACATTCCACGTAACTTTTCAGTTTGAACACTTGCTTATATTTTTATAAAAATAGTGCAATATTTATTTGCAAAAATTTCAATTTATTATAAAAGCACTAATTTATAAATATTCGATTAGTGCTGTTTGCTTTTTATTATTCATTCTTATAATTGTATGAATGGACTAACTTTCTGGAAAATTTTTACTTTCTTTTCTTGCATTCATTCCATCAGCCAAACGAATACTAACAGAGACAAATTTATGATATTATTTTATCATCTTGAAATATTTTTGTTATATTTTCTCCATATTGATTTACTTTCACTTGAATCATTGCATTACTTAGAAAGATTAATCTCGCATACTTTCAGTTTTAATAATGCAATTGTTTCTCTCATTCTCGTCTTACTATCATCGAATACAATAGAATCAGCACTGATTTTGCAAATTCCCACATCCCGATTGTATTAGACGATTATCTTTAATCTGCAAAAAAATATTGAAAATTTTTTCATTTAGAAAAAATTAGTTAAAGAGTGCTGTGCATTAGTTGATTTCAGTAAAAGTTAGCTTTCATGTTTTCATATTTTGTATACATGGCTTAT